CTCCTCCTCCTCCACCTCCTCCTCCTCTTCTCACCCAGGCACCGACAAGGCAGGGGGCTCAGGGGCGGAAACATCAGGCAGGAATCAGCGACGCATCGCCGATAGATCGGCGAGAGGCCCCCGATAGCGAATCCACACGCGCCTGGGCGCGGTGGGCTATCGGGCCCCTCTCGGCGATCAATGAGCGATTGGGGGTCGATGCATCTCCCCCTGGGCCTATCCCACCCTGACTGTCCCTCGTGGCTTTCCGGCCATAGCTCGGCTCTACGGCGGCCGTTCGTCACGATTCGGGTACCCCCTGAACGCTCTCGGCGAGGCGCAGCCGCTGGAAGGCATCCCGAGGCCACAAGACCGCCGCGAACTGACGAAAACGCATGAAAACCTCAAACCTCGAACTCCTAACGTTTCCCCTGATCTCGCCGCCCCCATCGACCCCTCCGTTGAGCAGCACCGATCGTCCCGGCATTCCTGTAAGCCTACCACGAAATTTGCTTAGCACAGCAGAATGTTCCAATAACGGAAACAGTGTTATTAAACCATGCAGTCGGTATATTGAAACAGCATCGCATCAGCCAGACATGTCCTGAGCTCATGTCGTGCAAACCAGAACAGGTTTCTAGAACATGGTTTGGCCTGCCATCGCTCGGGAGTCCATTCCCCATGCATGTGTCGGATTCGCGCGTGTTGCTTGTTCGCATGATGGTCCCATATGCTCCTCGCCAAGAGAAGATGAGCAAGTTCGCGCGATGCCAAACTGGGGAAAAACCACAGTATCCGATACCGCTACTCCCCGGACCTCTGCCGGGGTGCGTTCTGACCAGAACTTCGAAACGAATCCAGCGGTGGCGACGAGGGCCTCCCAGGAGGCTCAAAATGGCGAAAGCGAGGAAAGGATAGTCATGCAGGGCTGGGCCCTGCCTCACAGTACCTTCGGACCTGGCAAATGGCACGCTAATGGCCGCCTGAGTTGGCACTAGTGATCTCTGCAATCGCGACCACGCGAAAAAAAACGAGAAGCGAGCCATTCGAAGATCATGAGTGAGCCATGTGTGTGTCAAAAGTCATTACCAGGTCATTCGAGGGTCATGGGTGGGTCACTAGTGGGTCAAATTCAATAATTCGCCAGTGGTAGGCGAAATTCAATAGTGGGCCATTCGCAGGGCCAAGAGTGGGGCAACTAGTGGGCCCTTAGCGGGCACTGTGCGCCAAGGGGGGTGCGCCATACTCTGGCGACTCTCGCTGGGCCGTGTCCACGTTGTTCGGGACACGATGCTCGGGCACAGGATGGTGGGTATTCGCACGGCACACGCTACTGTCCTCTCGACCTACGGCCCCGCCGAGCTCGACCGCGACTGGTTCCACCGCAGTTTCACCTTCTTTCGCACGCTCGGCCACCTCGGCCACCCAATCTTCGTCGTTTGGGACCTGAACTGGCGCCCCACCTACACAGGGGTCATCGGACACGGCTGGCGCCTCGACACCACCGCCGACGGCTCACCATCAACCACGACTACGGTGAATACCTGCCCGACGCGCGCCCTGTTCTAGGGAAGCCCCGACGCCAGGCCACCACTGCATACGAACACCACGCTCTTGGCTGGCATTCCACACCACGGCCTCGTCAGCTACACGCTCAACGTCCCGTACACGGAACAAACCACCCACCGCCTCCGACGGACCGCCACCTACGTCCAAGCCCGCGACGCTCCTCCCGAAGAGAAAGCCCTTATGCAGGAACTGGTTGACTTGGAATTTGGTCCTTCCCTGATGTCCGACGACGACGACAGCAACCCGCCTCTCGCGGACCGATGGGACTACTGGCACCAACGCGCCGAACAAGCGATGCTAGTGGTAGTCGACCGTGGCTTCATGCAGCTCGACCAACTGGCCGAACGGCCCAAGGGCTCCAAGCCCACGACTCGACGCACCTCGCACTCACTGGCACACCGACTGGACCAGTCGATAGCCCTCCGACGCCTGCTACGCCTCCACAGGGCCCTCGCAGAACACCTGCGCCAGGGAGGCCGAAGCGACGACTACCTCACGCCGAGGCACCACCGTTCGGTAGCCCAAGCGGCCCTCGACGGCATCCTTAACGTGCAAGCCTGCGGCATCCCACGCTACTCCGACGCCCTCCGCTGGATCTCCCAGGCGACCTCGCCGGAGCAAGCCCGTCTCCAGGACGGGGCTAACCGCCAATGGAGACAGAGATTCGCCACCTGGAGCAACGACCTCTGGTCCTATACGACTCCCCTGTTCAAGGCCACGCCGCCGACGCCCGCCATGAACGTCCACGACATGCGCCAGCAATGGCATGACCAATGGTGCCCCGACAACTACGACGGCGCCGCGCACCACCAACACTGGAAGACCTCGGCCGCGGACACCGTCTTCCCGAAATCCGACAAGGCCTCCGACTGGACACCCTCCTGGGACCAGTTCCGGGAAGCCATCCAACGCGCCAAGGGTTGCCCCGGGCTTGACGGCTGGAGCTGTAAGGAGCTCCGCGCTCTGGCCCACTGGTTCCCGGCCATCGTCCGCGAGCTGTTCGACCTCTGGACTGCCACGTCCACAGCAGCTGTCCAAGCCAAGGGCCACCTCCCGCCCGACCTCCTCTCCAGGGTCTTCCCCTGGAGGGTAGCAGGGGTGCCCAAGGGGGAAAGCGACACCCGGCCGATCTATGTCGGCTCGGTATTCCTCAGAGTCTGGCTCAGGTCCCTGTTCCAAGCCGTGCCTGAGCCGCCAGACAATCAGCACGCCAACCGCTCTGGTGCCAGCGTCACCCACGCCATAGCCGCCTGGCTATCCGACTGCGCGGACTCCTCCGACGGAGTGAACATGGACCTGTCACGGGCCTTCGACAACATCGGCCACGAGCTAGCCCAAGAAAGCCTCATCCAGAGCGGCCTGCCAGACCTCGTGGTCTACACCTGCCGCGCTGCGTGGTAGGGCCCCCGCCACTGCTCCCTCATGGGCATGACGGCGCCACCGATCCACCCGCAGCGGGGCCTCCCGCAAGGGACGCCATGGCCCCAGCCACGATGGTGGCTTGCCTCGCCCCTTGGCAGCCCCTATCCTCTGGCCACGCCTTCATGGACGATCGCGCGATTGTCTTCACCTCGCCGGACGCGCTGGCCACCGACATTGCAGATACTCAGAGCTTCGACCGACGAGTGGGCTTTGTGGAAAACATCGGCAAGCGACAACACTGGTCCAACCAATACGTCGTTCAACGACGCATGGAGCACCTCGGAGTGCTCGAAATACTAACCGACTCCAGCTTCGGCATCATTCCACGCCAAGGGCGGGCAAAGCTGGAGACCTCCATCGCCGTGCTGGCCTCCATCCCCGGCAGCAACCAGGTTCGCCTCAATCTCGCCTTCGCCTACATCCGTCCTTTGTGGCTCTGGGCGAGCCCACTGGTCATCCCGCCGCCCATCAAGTACGCCAGAACCCTGGCGCGAGCCGTCTGGCACACCGGTTGCACCTGGTGATGCCATGGGAGGTGGTGGGCCCAAATGTATTACTTCATCCAGTGCATTCTGCTGCTATATTCGCTTTCAAGAACATTGTAGATCCTAAGCTGAAATCGTATGTGTTTTGTGGATCATTCTATCGCTACTCATGCAACTGCGTTGGGTCTCATGTACCGACGTTTCTCTCCTACGCAAGGAGCTCAATTGGAAGTCAATCCCACCGACGATCACCGTGTGCTGAAAGCGGTGGAGGAGCACGTGGACGACTACTGGCGCTTCTGGTCGGGGTCCTCTGGTGCTCTGCACGTCCTGCGAGCTATCGCACGCATCCGTTGCCTACAAGCAGTGGTTCCTGCGCGGCACGACGCGGAGGAAATCTCCGACTTCGACGTCGAGATCTGCTCGGCCAAGGAAAGCCTATACGCGCTTGGTGGGTACACTCAACGACACGGCAAGACGCTTCTTTCGATCTTTCGCTCTGGTGCCGTCACCAGCGAGACTCGGAGACGAACCGGGTTCGCATGCAAGCACTGCGGTGCAACTACCCCATCGTTTCGCCATGTCTGGGCTGAATGCCCGCGGTGGCACCATGCGAGATCCAACATCGGAGCTCGCTACATGCTTCCCGACAGTTTCTGGACATCTGCTCCAAGGTGTACAGCGAAATCGGGATGGGTTACTTACGCTCTTGCTGATACCCCAGAGGAGCGGACTCGAATGCTTCTGGCCTCTTTTGTATACAGCCAGACATGTCATCAAGAAAGTGCCCCAAAGTTTCCTACAAAGCTGGGCCAATTTCTGTTGTTCCCGCTGGAGGGACGATCGTGCTCAAGAGACAGGGCAAACTTTGCCGCAGGCTGGTCAAGAAACGATGCTCCAGTTTTTCGGGAGGAGGCTTCTTACTCAGACGTTCGACTGTACTGAACGCGGCCTCGTGGGGAGGAATTTGACTGGGGTGGGGCGGGTGTGGTGTATAAAATTACACTAGAAGAAAGCCCCAATCAATGGATGGTTTGAAAATGGGATCGATAAAATAAGAAGATCCACCGGGACCCCGGGAACCCGGGAACCCAGAACCCGCCGAAATCGGCCAAGAACCAATAACCAACAACCTGGGAACCCAGAACCGGAAACCCAGCCGGCCACCCGAATCGTCGGGAAATTGTCGCCAAATCTTGTATTTACACCCGAGAAAAACCCCAATCAATGGATGGTTTCCGCTGAAAAGATCAACAGAACCCGGGAGCCCAGGAACCCAAAACCCATCGAAATCGGCCCGGATCCGGGAACCCGGAACCGGGAACCCGGGAAGCCAGCCTGCTACCAAAATCGGCGGGAAACTTCCGCCTAATCTTTCAACTTCCGCGAGGACCCCTTCAGTGCAAGCACCGATTTGGGGAATTCCCGCTATAGGACCCCCTGCAGCGCCAGCACTGATTGGGGAAACAAGCTCGAGCCCAGGACGCCTCGGCGCTGCCTGCCTCCGGGAGGCGCAGGGGCAGGGGCCCCAAACGCGGCGCGCGCCTCTCGAGGCCCTGCACTGCGAGCCGGCACGTCTCGGCGAGGGCGGGCCCGCCTGGCCACCGAGGCCGCCATCCTCCTCCTTCTCCTCCTCCTCCTCCTCCTTCTCCTCCTCCTCCTCCTCCTTCTCCTCCTCCTCCTCCTCCTCCTGCTCCTCCTCCTCCTCCTCCTCCTCCTCTTCCTCCTCCTCCTCCTCAGACCCACTCATGAGCAAAATCGCGGCGGCAAGTGCATCTCTACCTTCGGCCCCTCGGGGGCCTCCTGGGAGGCCCTCGCAGCCACCGCTGCATTTTCCACGAAACCCGTCGAAGAGGGGGGTCCGGAAGATTCGGTCGCATTTGGAGGGGGTTCCGGTTTCACGTGCGGTTTGTCGGATCCCCAGGGGGAGGCTCCCGTTCGAGCGGGGCTCCCCACGCGACAGCGCGCACCCACAGCTCCCTCCGCACCCCCTACAGAATCCTGCAGAATCCTGCAAGATCCTGCAAGATCCTGCGCCCAAACCCGGGTCAAGGCGAAGGATCCTGCAAGATCCTGCAGGATCCTGCACCCAAGCCAGGATCAATGCGAACCTGGCCCTGCAGGAACCTGAAAGATCCAGCGCTCTGGCTGACCCCCGTTTGCACTGACCCCTGTCTCTTGAGCCCCGACTCCAGCCTCGGGATGCCCTCTCCAGCGGCTGCGCTGCTGGGGAAACCAGCAGGTACTGATACCGCTACTCCCTGGACCTTTCCCGGGGTGCCCTCTGACTAGAATCTCGAGGCGAACCCAGCGGTGGCGACGAGGGCCTCCGAGGAGGCCCCCGAGGGGCCGAAGGTAGAGATGCACTTGCCGCCGCGATGTTGTTCATGAGTGGGTCTGGGGAGAAGGAGGAGGAGGAGGAGGAGGAGGAGGAGGAGGAGGAGGAGGCAGAGGCAGGGGTAACTTTCCTCCGCTGAGCCTCGCCGAGGGCCTTCGGGGAAGCCCGGTTCGTCCCCGTCGGTGGCAACTCACGGGAGCCTCCCATACCATCTGGGCTCTTGCGAATCGACGCTTCTCGACGCTAGTCGACGCTGAATCGAGGCCGAATCGACGCTCACCGCTCACCGACGCTAGATCGGCGCTGACCCAACGACTCCCAGACGCTAATCGACGCAAATCGACGCCAAAGACTGAATTGGGAGGGCACGGTGGGGGCATTGGATAAGGAACCCTTAGATAAGGAATCCAGGGTCTGGAGGCCAGTGGAACTCCAATCGAGGCTTGGCCATGAATATCACCGCCGCCCGCGTAAGATAAGGAATTCTCCAGGGTCTGTAGCATCCTGGGCGCATTCCTTAACCAACGCCCCCACCGTATGCCAGGCTCCCCCCGCCTTCTCGCGACCCTGAGATCCGAAGCTGCGCGTCTTGGAAGCATCGTAACGAGCACGACCAGAGCCCTGGACCCCATCTTCCTGCTGCATGGTCCCAAGCCGAATCGACCTGTGAGGGTCCCGGGGCCCGAGACGGGCCGACAGCGCGCAGGGTCGCGAGAAGGCGAGATCTGCCGCCGACGCCCCCCAGGCGCGGCACGACAAACGCCAGCCTCGGCGGCGCGCTCCGCGGGGGGGGGGGAGGAGGCCGACGGGGAGTGGGGGCGGAGGAGGAGGAGGAGGAGGAGGAGGAGGAGGAGGAGGAGGAGCGAACGTAACCTTGAAGGAAGGTTCGTCCGCGCTTAGCCGAGCCGCGGCCGCGGCGCGCCCGTCAGACGGGAGCTGGGGGGCGCGGCGGGCGGCGGCGAAGGCCGTGCACTGGTTGTGGTGGGAGATCGGGAGGGGGAGGTCCTTGGTGAGGTGGTACGCCCGCGTCGCGACGGCGAGGCGCGTGGCGGAGTTTGGGATGCCGTTCTCGCCGTCGAACGGGTGCGTCAGCTCGGGGAGCGCCATGCGCGTGAGGAGGTCGGCGCTCAGCTGGCCGCGAGGCAGGCTCAGCTGGTGCCACATGCGTTCGCACGTCATGTAGTGCTGGATGTTGTCCTTGGCGAGCGGGTGATTGCACCCGAAGTGGCAAGGGCGCTTGTCCTGGATGACGTGCATGCGGTAGCTGGTGGCCCATGCGCCCACGAGGGCCGTCACTGTGGCCCACATCCGTGCAGGTGGTTGTGTAGCCAGGTAGGTGCGCAGGCGTTTCCAACGAGCTGGAAGGTCGGCGGGAAGCCGATGGAGACGAAGAAGATCAGGCGGCTCGCCTTCGTCATCTGGAGGGTCTTCGTCGCCGTCGGGGAAGTCGGCGTCACTGATGTCGGTGTCGGGCAGCTGGTACGGGAGAAAGTTGGCGACCCAACGGCGACGGGCACGGTGTTGGGCGGCTTCATGCTGAAGTAGCGAAGTCAGGCCGCTCGATTCATCAGAGCGGGTCCGAGTTCTTGAGAGACGGTGTTCGAGGAGGATTCTGCCAGTACCGCCTTTGTCCCATGCCTGCTGACACATGTCGGCGGCGATCTGTCGTCGGCGAGCGGAAGTGGCATAAAGCGGGCGAAAGGTCTCGGACCCGAGGAGCTCGTACAGGTACTCCGTGCACCACTGCATCCAGTCCAAGCGGTTGTCGATCGCGTGGTCATTGAGCAGGATGTCGGGAAGCCAGTGGGCGGCCCATGCGCGAGCTCGGTCGGCCAGACGTTCTTGACCGATTTCGGCGTTTCGGCGAGGCCCGCTGAGCGGCTCCCTGGTAAGCGACTTCGCAGGGTCAAGGGACGGGAACCAGGACAGGAGACGCCGCTTTATGGTGTCTGCCATCGTGTCGGTGTAGAGCTGCTCGTTGAGGGACGTCATGTAGGCCTTCTGCGGCGTGATCTGTGTGGTTCGGCGGCGATGCAGTTCTTGTTGCTGCTGTAGGAGGGCCTGCATTCCAGCACGAGCGGCTCGCTTGTGGATGCCAATCATAGCGGCTCGGGCGCGAGGAAGGGGGCCAGCTGTGCGGGTCAGCCTCTTTAAGTGGGAGCCCTTGCCGTCGGGGAAGAAGGTAGAGTTGATGATGTGCTCGAACCGTTGGGCGATGGAAGACTTGATGGACCAGCACTCGCTGCGCCAGTGTCCGCGCTGCACTGTGACGAGGGGGAGCTGCTCGTACGCGGTGTCAGCCTTGGTCCAGAGAGACATCGCGAGGATGTCGGACTTCGCGAAGCTGGACGGGGCAACGCGCAGCAGCTTGTGGAACGCCTGCAGCTCCTTCTGGAGGATGCCCGCCGAGGGTTCGAATAGCTGGCCTACGTATCCAAGGACCGTGACGGCAGCGACGTTGCACAGCTTGATGCTCTGCTGGATAGGGGCGTGGGGCGCGGCGAGCTTCTCGATGCGGCCCCACCACTTGACAGCAGGGCCTCGCCATTGGTCGTCAAGAGTGGCGCCAGGGCCGATGAAGAAGCCGAGGTACCTGGCGCTGGACTCAACCTTGAAGGCAGCCCAGGGAGCGTGGGCGGAAGCAAGTACTTGGCGTATCTCCGCTATGATGTCCTGAGTGGGCAGCGTCCAGGTCGGGACCACGATGCATTTCTTGGCCTGGAGGCACAGGCCCGCGAGAGTCTCCACCGCGATGATGTGCGGCGCGAGCTTGCTGATGTCCGCTAGCCTCGCGAGGATGATGCCGAGGTCGTCGGCACATGCGCTAACCAGACCGCGCTCGATGGCTGAGGGCTCGCTGGTGAGGGCTCTGGTGACTGGGTCAAAGACGAGTGCCCAGATCGTACCCCTTAACGGACAGCCCTGAGCAACTCCTGACGCTGCGATCAAGAGGGGGCGGCGTGCACCGCCCAGGTCCAGGTAGGAGACAGGCCAGTGGTAGCACGCTTGAAGCAGGTGAAGCATGTGTCCATGGATGCCCCACCGCTGGAGAACGTCCCACATCCAGTGGTGGCCGAGGCTGGGGAAGGCGGTCGCGATGTCCATGCTGACGAAGACGGGCTTGTCAGTAGCTGCATTAGGTGAAAGACTATGACGTCGAGCAGCGGCATCCACCACGACGGCGTTGCGCAAAAACTGGCGGCCGTTGACGAATCCCTGCTGCCCGGGAGACGTCTCGGCTGCGAGGGCGTGAAGCTGTCGATTGGCGGCGGACGCCATCAGCTTCACATCCGAGTTCTTCATTGAGAGCGGACGTAGGCACTCTGGAGCGCGGGTGCACTCAGCATTGCCGCAGGGCTCGTCGCCCTTCGGAAGCATGGCCATGAGGGGGTAGTTGAGGTCGTGAGGCGGCGCGCGTCTAGTGGCGATGTCACGGCACAAGTCGGCGAGGATGTCGAAGCTGTCGGGAGTGCGCAACCATGCTTTGTAAGGAAGTGTGTCGGGTCCTGGTGCGGAGTCGCCAGCCAGGCGAGCGGCCTTCTCGAGAGCTTGGGCGTCAGGTAGGTCGAGGTGGGCGGGTGCGCGTCTAGGGAAGATCGAGTCGAGGTAGTTGGAGAGGGCGTCGTCAGGAACATGCTTTGCAGCAAAGACGGGGGCCCAGTGGCGCATGATGGCCTGATGCATCGTCGCGGGGTCGGTGGCGATGTTGGTGACGCCGCCCGCGATGATCTCGACGCCCGTCAGGGCGAGCCGCTTGGAGAATGGCTTCCAGAGCTCGCCACGGAGGCCTTCACGTTTGGCTCGCTGGCGCCACTTCTGACCGAGCTGGACATTGTTGGCGGCGAAAGCGGCCCGCGAGCGTGCTGCAGAGAGGGCCTTGCGCTCGTCACTGAGGCTCGCGTGCGTGGCGTCGGTGGTCGAGGAGAAGTCGTGCATGTCGTTGATGCTGACGGTACGACCGTCAATCTCCAGGTGTAGTTTGCCGATGTCGGTGTTGTCGATCAGCGTCTGGGCGAGGGGGATGTTCTGGTACCATGCCGCTCTGGCGATGCTGCGTAGAGTCATGGCTCTGGTTCCCTTTCTGACGGTCCCACTTTGTGATGATAGCTCAGCGGCTGGGATCTTGAGAAGTGTGTCACGGGCTCTGGCAGCGGCAACTCTCATGGCTGCCTTCAAGGCCCTCCAGCGCGCCGTGGGTGCGAGAGAGGACATGTCGACCGTGGCGAGCACTCTGGCGATGTGGTGCTTGTAGTGGTCGGTGTCGAAGATGTACCCGGGGATGCCGCGCTCGGTGACCTTCTTGGGCTTGCGGAGACGGATGCGCAAGTGCATGATCTCATGGTCGCTGACGGGGCCCTTGGGGTTCTCGAGGGGGGCGTCGTCGGCGATGTAGACAGTTTCCATGAAAGGCATGAGGTGGCTAGGCAGGTTGATGAAGAAGCGGTCAATAGTAGACTCATTCTTGTTAGCCCCCGGTCTATGCGTCGTCGAGGGAGTCACAATCTCGATAACGTCGCGGAACAGGTTGCGCCAGAAGACTGGTTGGTACTGATAACGCTGTGATGCTGTGGCGTCTGAGTCGACAGGCGTGTTGATCGATCGTGGCGGGAACTCGGAGACGTTGAAGTCGCCGACGATAACAAGAAGCCGCTGCTGAGGGGCTTCGTCAGCATGATGGCGAAGAGCGTGCCAATGGTCACGTAAGAGAAACCGATCTGCTGGAGTCAAGCCGAAGTTGTGAATGTTGAGGACAGTGACTTCGTGCTGGAGGCTGGCATCCGTGGTCCGAAGCCACGCGGCACGACCAGGGATGACGACCTCAAACATGAGCTGGGGCCGTTCGTCTGGAGGAAGTTGAAGCTCTGCCTTGTCGTAGGGGAAGTTGCTGTCGTTTGTCGGCGCGACGTAGAGCGGACTGTCCGAGAAGCGCTTGCGAGTTCCAGAATGCGATGTTCAGGCCCTCCTGCGAGGGCTTCAGGAGCCATGGGCTCCACCGAAGGCTCAAGCCACTGCGCGGCAGAGAGGGGGTCTGCGAAGTTGCTGATGAACTCGGCGGCGATCTGCTTCTGGTCATCTTCGGAAATTCCATGTCTGTTGGCGGCCTGTGACCACTGGAGCTTAGTAGGAACATCAGCATTGCTGCCAACAATAAGGCGAACCAAGGCTTCACCGCGGCACGATATGTAGCCCAGGGTTCTGTGAGTGCGCGCATCGAGGTCTGGCTTGAAGTTCTGCATGATCTTGGCGAGGCGCTTGATCTGGACCTCCGTGCGGACGGCCTTCGGGCTCTTGTCGGCAGATACATATAGAGGAACGTATTTGTCATTACCAAAATCGAGAGTAAATGTGCGCCAATCCTGTCCATTACGCAGAGCAGTATGAAGACGTTGTGCCCGAGGTTCCGCAACCACTGTGCCCCCGCTGACCTGATACGAGTGGCGGTTGGCGGGGCCGACCGTGTTGAATATAACCATGTCCTGCTTGATGTTGGCGGCCTGGAACCATGGGGTGAGAGCTTTTTCCAGATGTTGCTGACTGAACTCCTGCGGACTGCTGCACCAGAAGGTGGTGATGTCGGGGTCGCGGTCCCAGCTGCCCAGGCCGTCCAGGTTGAGGGCGGGAGCGCGTGCTTCTGCTGCTGTGATAATGGATTCGAGCTTGGCAACGGCGGCCTTGAGTTCGGAGTTCTGCTCTTCCAGGGCATTGGTGCGGAGCTTGACTGCGGTGATGTCTCGTTCTGTTGCTTCGTGTCGTCTGCTGAGGTCGGACGTGATCTGCGTGAGTGATGCGAGGAACTCTGAGCTGGCCTTTGCTGTGACTGCCTTGGCTGTGGCCTCGAACTTTTCGGTGGCGTCCTTGATCTGGGCGGCCATGGTCTCCTCAAGCTGCTTTCGAACATGTGCTGGGAAGTCGTGAACTGCGAGTTTGGATGCACTGTCATGCCATGGGTCTTGTTGTCGCTTGACTGGGTCAGTGGCTCCGTCTCGGGGTGTCGATGCAGCGCTGGCCACACAGTCGACGGGGGGACCCATGCTGTCGACGTCCGCGAACTGAGGCCCGCGCCAGCCTCAGGTGGCAATCCACCGATGTGCGCGTGGAGGAGACTGCAGGCGAATGCAGCACCAGATATGAAGCTCGACCTGCTGGGCAGCAGGAAGGCGAGGATATGAAAGCAAGTCCTTAGCTGTCCCTGGACCAAGGGTCTCCGTGCTCTGCCACGGGGCGAAAACATCTTGAGCCAAAACGGCTACGGAGGAGGAGGAGGAGGAGGAGGAGGAGGCGGAGGCGGAGGAGGAGGAGGAGGAGGAGGAGGAGGAGGAGGCGGAGGAGGGGAGGAGGAGGGGCAGGAGGAGGCGAGATCTGCCGCCGAAGCCCCCCCAAGCGCGGCACGACAAACGCCGGCCTCGGCGGCGGGCTCGGCGGGGGGGGGGGAGGCCGACGGGGAGCGGGGCGGCCTTCCGAAAAGACCCTCTGCGGCGCAGCACTGTGCCGGCCTTCGCCCCAAATTAGAAGCTCATTTGGCATAACTCCTCCTCCTCCCCTCCCCTCCTCCTCCTCCTCCTCCTCCTCTCCTCCTCCTCCTCTGCTCCTCCTCCTCCTCTCCTCCTCCTCCTCCTCCTCCTCTCCTCCTCCTCCTCCTCCTCCTCCTCCTCCTCCTCCTCCTCCTCCTCTCCTCCTCCCTCCTCCTCCTCCTCCTCCCCTCCTCCTCCTCCTCTCCTCCTCCTCCTCTCCTCCTCCTCCCTCCTCCGCCTCCTCCTCCTCCTCCTCCTCCTCCTCCTCCTCCTCCCTCCTCCTCCTCCCCCTCCCCCTCCTCCTCCGCGATTCTTGTGTATTTGCGATTTTCCGTCCAAAAGACCCCTGTAGGGGGACAGGCCCGACCTAAGCGAAGGGTATGGTCTACCTCCGGCCCTGGGGGGGCCCAGCGAGGACAGCTGCGCGGCAACCCATCACGACTAATCGAGCAGGATGGCACGAGATCTTAGAGCCAGGCATTATGGTCGCAGCGAGGTGGCAACCTACTGGCTGCGAGGGTGCCGGCCGCCAGAGCGTCACCAGCATGTAACTTTCGCTGGCCAACCTCGTTCGAAAAACGTTGACATGGCCCTCCAAGGCCCCGGAACCGGCGATACACCGCCAGTAGATCGGCGACGGGCTCCCGATCGCAAAAATCCCCGCACTCCTGGGCGGGGTGGGGCCATCGGGCCCCCTGTATCGGCGATGAATGGACGATTGGGTGTCGATGCGTTCCCCTACTCCTATCCCATGGCGGTTTCCGGGTCGCAACTCGGACCTCCAGCACCCGCTCGGAACGCCCCCGGCGAGGCGCAGCTGCTGGAGCGCATCCCGTAGCTGGAGAGCCGCCGCGAAGCGACGAGGACGCCCGAAAACCTGGGACCCCGAACCCAGAACGCCCCTACAGTCGGGGCGTTGACCTAAGGAACCCCGAATAAGGAACGAGGCCCCTGTTTTCCATAGGTTACACTTCGATTTCCCATCGAAAACATAAGGAGCACCTGATGCAAGCTGTGAAGCAATCAAGGAACACCGAGCCCCTCCCCAACGAAAAGGGCTCCTTCTTCAGCGCCCCGACTGTATTCCCCCCCATCGATGCAGCCACCCCCTAACCCCGAACCTGGAACGCCCCTATTCTTACCAGCCTCGAACGTATCCCCATCCCTAAGATTGACACGCCACAAGGCGATGACAATCTCAGGGATCCGCCCTCAAAAAATAAGGGAATCTCTGAGGTTGGCATCGTGATGAGGAGGTGCCCAGCATAGGGATAGGGATATGTTCCAGGCTGGTAATATTAGAGGCCTCCTAGATGGGGTCCGAATAGATGGGGTCGGAGGATCGCGCCGAATCGCCGATACATCGCCGATGAATCGCCGATGCATGGCCGATGCATCGCCGATGCATCGGCCATGCACTGGCGACGTCGGCGGTCCATCCACGACGCCCGCGCGGAGAAAATTGGGCCCCACATCGAGCCGCATCGCCGATGCATCGTCGATGCATCGGCGATGCGGCGCGATCCTCCGACCCCATCTACTCCGACCCCGTCCAGGAGGCCTAGAAATATTCCCCCCCCTCGATGCAGCCACCCCCTGTGCCGATCTCCCCCTGTAGCGCTGCCTCCGAGCCTGCGCCTGGCCCCGCGCGGGCCCCGCTCGCCCCGAGGGCCCCCCGCGGGCCCCCCGCGGGCCTCGCGGGGGCCCGGAGGAGGAGGAGGAGGAGGAGGAGGAGGAGGAGGAGGAGGCGGAAAAGTAGGAGGATGATGAGGAGGAGGAGGATGAGGAGGAGGAGGAGGAGGAGGAGGGAGAGGAGGAGGAGGAGGAGGAGGAGGAGGAGGAGGAGGAGGAGGAGGAGGAGGAGGCCTGCGCGGCGGGTTCGCGCGCGCGGAGGCCCGCGCCTGCGGGGATGCCGCCGGCCCGCGCGGGGGCCTCGTCGGCGTACGCCCCCAGGAGGCTCAGCACCTTCCGGGCACCCAGGAGAGGCTCTCCTCCTCCTCCTCCTCCTCCTCCTCCTCCTCCTCCTCAATCTCCTCCTCGATCTCCTCCAGCTCTTTTCTATCGCGCGTTGCCGCCCGTATGGCAAGGCGGGCGCTGGCCAGAGGCGGGCCCGGCGCACAAGGTGTCCATCTCATGCGGCCAAGGACCCCTGTCCCTATAGGCAAAGGTGGCAAGCACAGCCCTTCTCTCCGAGTGAAATGACAAGAGAGAGCCCGGTGGCTTATGCTCTGCCCGCTCTCAGAAGCAGCTGATGCGTGCAGATGCGCCAACCCGCGGGGGCTGCCCCGCGTCTTCTGAACGACGGAGCTTATGACACGGTCTTGCCTCACGACCGTCCTTCGGCAACAGCGCTGTGACACCCTGGGAGCACAACTTGGCCTCAAACACCGGTCCGACAACGACCTGCGACCGTCTTACCCAAGCACTGCCCCCTTCGGTAGCGTGCATCTGCCTGGGTCTGTAAGCGCTTGAAAGCCGATTGGCAAAGACTCATGGCTCGGCGACGCTTCCCGATCCCGCGAGCAAGCCGAACACGGGCTTGGCGCTGGGTAGGCGTGGATGTTCCCGACGTTGCTGGTGAGACTCCAGGCAATGACGCAGTGACGCTCCATCACCAACCAGCAGTAGCGAACATCTCGAGCCCGAGCGGCGCGAGCGGCTGTAGCCCCGTGGCCCTGTCGGGATGTTGTCAACGACATCGGGGTGCTGTCAGCGAGACAGACAAGCAACAAAATGATGAGTACGAAGCAAGCATGAGCACATAACCACTATCACGTGGCATCGCAATACTTACTGACTGCGTCCCGTCCCGCAGCGGTGTCCTGCCAGCGCCGGAAAGGCCTCCATACCCCCAGCTGCTTCGCAGGCGTGCCTATAGAAACAGACACCATGGCATACATCACTCGCGAAGCCTTGGCACCTCCTGCAATGGATCTGCTGGAGAGCGAGAGTTGGCCAGACCACGAAACTCGAAAACACGGTTGATCCTCAATACAAGGACGGCGACCTGGGCAGTATGCTATGGGCCGCAGTGGGCGTCCAAGGAGAGGGTACAGGGCACACGCGACTCAGTCTTGATGTCGTGTTTGGGCCCGAAGCCACCCATGCCACAGCTGCACGAACAACTAGCAAACATCATCGTGAAAGGAACCTAACGCGGGTAGACACTAACTTCCGCCAGGACGCGGTTGCCCACGGGCTTTGGTCGTCGCCATGCTGCGTCCAGGCGTGCTGTGGACAACCGTGCTGCTATCGACCGCTTGTTTGCGGTGTGTCATGCGTTTCTGCCCGAGTTCCGGCCGTTACCTGCCCAGCTCGCTCACAGAGATCGCCTACTCGTGTCGCGCTTGAGGACGCCACTCAGCTCAGGATGGCAACGTGCGTTCGACTGTCGTACAGTCGATGCGCTGACCCAAGGACCCCCAGATAAGGAACGAGGTCCCTTTTTTTCATGAGGCAAACTTCGACTTCCCATCGAAAACTCAGGGAAACCTAAGGCAATATTTGGAACAATTAAGGAACACCGAGCCCATCCCCAACGAAAAGGGTTCCTCCTTCAGCGCCCCGGCTGTACAGGCTGTCGTGCTGTCATGCTGCTCATGATGTTTGCCCTGACGGCGACAACGCGGGGGAGGCACGCGGGCCGTTGCTGGTAGGAGCCCCCGCTATCAAGCCACCTGTGAACATCTATGACAGATCCGGAAAGGAATACACCGACGCACCGATGTGGAACATAAACATATATATGCGCAGAGAACTATCCACGCTGGGAAACTCACAGGTAACACCCCAGGTCTTGTATGGAAGGGGCACACGCATGCGCACACATTCAAGTGGAAACCACGACGGCACAACCATGTCTAATCCGTAATGATGAATCCACGTGGAACATTCACGTGGACTGAGCAAAGCCTCGCTGCATGGAGAACGCACTTACTGGTAATTAGTACGGTTCTTGCGCTCTCGATCGATAGCTTCTCTCATATCCCACAAACCATTTAGGGCGTGAGTGGTTTAGGGAGCTTCTTTCTCAAGCCCCCCTTCTTCTCTTTCTGGGAAGGGTTTGCCCATCCCCCGGACCCCATTCCTTGGGCCTGGACAGGGTGCCATGCGGCGCGCTACAGCGACTAAGGTGGCGTCGGCGAGAAGAGCACAAAGCGCTTCGGTTTTGGGCCCATGGTTGGCCTCTTCTTTGGCCAATCTCCTCCAAGATGGCCACAGGATGACCCCCATGACTCCCAAGAGTGCCCCAAGAGGAGCCCAGGAGGCCCCAAGATGCCCCCAATAGGTTCCCAAGAGGCCCCAGGACGCCCTCAAGACGCATCAAGAGGCTTCCCAAAAGGCACCAGTACGCTCCAAGAGGCTCCCAGGACGCCCCAAAAGAATTCCAAGAAGCCAACCCGTTCCTCCACTGCTTCCCCCTTCCGTATCCCTGACCAAAGTAACTCGCTTGGGCATCGCTTCTGGATGGGCTGGGCTGGTGAGGCTCCGCGAAGCGTCCAGAACAAGTCGCATCCCCGCCCCAATTCGGTACGCCCCCTGCGCGGGTGGTGCACCAGGGAGCCGCATCTGCGGCCCCGGCGGGGGCGCCCGCAGGGCGCCCCGCCTCAAATCGGCAAACCCCTCACGCGGATGGTGCCCCCCTACGCAGGTCGCCCCACACCCCTCCTCCCAGCGGCGCGCAGCCTGCGGGGATGGGGCCACCACTGGCGCTCCGCGCAACTGCACAGGGCAGAAACCTTTGAAAGGGCCCTGGGACACACACATAAACACACACACACACACACAAATTACGCTACCGAGGAACCCCACATACTTAATTTAAATATTATGTGTTTGCTTTTATATATATATATACATATATATATATATATATATATATATATATATACCTGCGCAATCCTGCGTTCTGAGCCCTCGCTGAGAGACCACCCCCTGCCCACCCCCTTTGGTGTCGAGAGAGTGCCACGCCTGCTAGGCTTTGCGCCAGTGTCGTGGATAGCGGCCGAGCTGAGAGACCACCCCCTGTGCACCCCCTGTGGTGTCGAGAAAGTGCCACGCTTGCTAGGCTTTGCGCCAGTGTCGTAGATAGCGGCCGAGCTGAGAGACCACCCCCTCCGCACCCCCTGTGGTGTCGAGAAAGTGCCACGCCTGCTAAGATAGCGGCCGAGCTGAGAGACCACCCCCTCTGTGGTGTACGCCTGCTAGGCTTGCGCCAGTGTCGTGGATAGCGGCCGAGCTGAGAGACCACCCCCTGCCCACCCCCTGTGGTGTCGAGAAAGTGCCACGCCTGCCTTTGCGCCAGTGTCGTGGATAGCGGCCGAGCTGAGAGACCACCCCCTGCCCACCCCCTTTGGTGTCGAGAAAGTGCCACGCCTGCTAGCTTTGCGCCAGTGTCGTGGATAGGGCCGCTGAGAGACCACCCCCTGCGCACCCCCTGTGGTGTCGAGAAAGTGCCACGCCTGCTAGCTTTGCGCCAGTGTCGTGGATAGCGGCCGAGCTGAGAGACCACCCCCTGCGCACCCCCTGTGGTGTCGAGAAAGTGCCACGCCTGCTAGGCTTTGCGCCAGTGTCGTGGATAGCGGCCGAGCTGAGAGACCACCCCCTGCGCACCCCCGCACCCCCTGTGGTGTCGAGAAAGTGCCACGCCTGCTAGGCTTTGCGCCAGTGTCGTGGATAGCGGCCGAGCTGAGAGACCACCCCCTGCCCACCCCCTTTGGTGTCGAGAAAGTGCCACGCCTGCTAGGCTTTGCGCCAGTGTCGTGGATCCCACCCCCTGCGCACCCCCCGGGCTGAGAGACCACCCCCTGCGCACCCCCTGTGGTGTCGAGAAAGTGCCACGCCTGCTAGGCTTTGCGCCAGTGTCGTGGATAGCGGCCGAGCTGAGAGACCACCCCCTGCGCACCCCCTGTGGTGTCGAGAAAGTGCCACGCCTGCTAGGCTTTGCGCCAGTGTCGTGGATAGCGGCCGAGCTGAGAGACCACCCCCTGCGCACCCCCTGTGGTGTCGAGAAAGTGCCACGCCTACTAGGCTTTGCGACAGTGTCGTGGATAGCGACCGAGCTGAGAGACCACCCCCTGCGCACCCCCTGTGGTGTCGAGAAAGTGCCACGCTTGCTAGGCTTTGCGCCAGTGTCGTGGATAGCGGCCGAGCTGAGAGACCACCCCCTCCGCACCCCCTGTGGTGTCGAGAAAGTGCCACGCCTGCTAGCTTTGCGCCAGTGTCGTGGATAGCGGCCGAGCTGAGAGACCACCCCCTGCGCACCCCCTGTGGTGTCGAGAAAGTGCCACGCCTGCACGCCCTGCTAGGCTTTGCGCCAGTGTCGTGGATAGCGGCCGAGCTGAGAGACCACCCCCTGCGCACCCCCTGTGGTGTCGAGAGAGTGCCACGCCTGCTAGGCTTTGCGCCAGTGTCGTGGATAGCGGCCGAGCTGAGAGACCACCCCCTGCGCACCCCCTGTGGTGTCGAGAAAGTGCCACGCCTGCTAGGCTTTGCGCCAGTGTCGTGGATAGCGGCCGAGCTGAGAGACCACCCCCTGCGCACCCCCATGTGGTGTCGAGAAAGTGCCACGCCTGCTGGGCTTTGCGCCAGTGTCGTGGATAGGGACCGCGGTGAGAGACCACCCCCTGCGCACCCCCTGTGGTGTCGAAAAGGGGCACGCCTGCTAGGCTTTGCGCCAGTGTCGTGGATAGCGGCCGGGCTGAGAGACCACCCCCTGCCCACCCCTTTTGGTGTCGAGAAAGTGCCACGCCTGCTAGGCTTTGCGCCAGTGTCGTGGATAGCGGCCGAGCTGAGAGACCAACCCCTGCGCACCCCCTGTGGTGTCGAGACAGTGCCACGAGCTGTGCTGTGCTGTGCTGAGCTGAGCCGTGCTGGGCTGTGCTAAGCTGTGCTGAGCTGAGCCGAGCTGTGCTGTGCTGAGCTGAGCTGAGCTGTGCTGATCTGAGTTGAGCTGAGCTGAGCAG